GATGATTTAATTGTTTCTGTGAGGACAAAATTCCACTCACTCTTGCTTTTTGTAAAGAATGTTCTCCAGTGACATGTTGCTTCTAATATAGTAACATATTGCCATGGTAACTACATTTGTTGTTATTCAGAATTAAAATGCATGAAGAGAAGAAAACAAAGAAAAAGAATAATGAGAAAGTACCTGATGGTGCTGTACCAGCCTATCTACTAGACAGAGAGGGACAATCCAGGGCTAAAGTATTGTCTAATATGATCAAGCAAAAACGGAAAGAAAAAGCTGGTAAATGGGAAGTACCATTACCCAAGGTAAAAGCACAAGCTGATAGTGAAGTCTTTAAAGTTGTCAGGACCGGAAAAACAAGAAGTAAGTGCTTTTTGATTGATAATTACATGTATGTGTTTGATTGATATGAACTTGCCTACCACATGTGTAGAATAAGCAGTATAGACAGAATGTGACAGTTAAACAATATTACATTTTATATTTGGTTGCTTTATGTGTCTGAAAATGTTTTCATTATCAGGGAAAGCATGGAAGAGAATGGTAACAAAAGTATGCTATGTAGGCGAAGGTTTCACAAGAAAACCACCAAAATATGAAAGATTTATTCGACCAATGGTAAGTCTGTGTACCAAACTACACGTTTTGATAATTAAGCTCTTTGGTTTGCAACTTCTCTTGATCAGATGGCAACTTGATCTAACTGATTTCATACATCTTTCCCTGCTTGCACCAATAATTCAGAGATAAGAGTATTCATGTCTACAAGTCAAGTATTTTTTGAGACTTGTGCCTGCACAATTGTTTGTGATAATAAATAAATATATTATGCACATCATACAAATAACAAAGATTTCCATAACACTTTGAAACATATCCATAACACTTTAAAACATATCCATAACACTTTGAAACATATCCATAACACTTTGAAACATGTCCAGAACACTTTGAAACATATCCAGAACACTTTGAAACATATCCAGAACACTTTGAAACATATCCAGAACACTTATTCGTCTAAGAATTTATGAATGACAGAATTCTATCATTTCAAACCCACACTTTATCTGTAGGGATTACGTTTCAAGAAAGCACATGTCACACATCCAGAATTAAAAGCCACGTTTTATTTACCCATAATTGGCGTCAAAAAGAATCCCAGCTCACCACTGTATACGTCACTTGGTGTTATAACAAAGGGTACAGTTATTGAGGTGAGTGTATGGAATAATAGATTCTATTCATAGTAAAAAATACAAATTAAGATATATCAAATGAGTCTCTGAAATTACTTTATGTAAATGATAACTTTATTATTTCCTCATACATTAAGGAGAGGGGGGTGCATTTTTGAAATAAAAAATCTCAGATAATTTAGTCAGGGTTCTCCACGGTTTGAAAATTAAACATGGCGCGCCAATGTGAAGTGGGCGTGACACATTTGTAACGTGCATCATTGGCAAGGATGTTGAAAAATGGAAACTAAAAAATCTATTAATCTACATATTATTACATATGCATAATATATATTATTATTACAAAATAAATGAGAATTTTGAAGAGCTATTAAGTAAACGTCAGCACGTACAATCAGCTGATTTTAGCTGCACGATTCCTCAAGCGACGACATCAGTTGTTTACAAGTAATGATCGCGTCCAGAAAAAGACGTAACAAGTTTGTTAATTTATTTTCCCAAATAGATACATACATGCTTTATTTAATTTTTAGCAAAAATTTATATTTATGATTTATATTTGGACGAAGCAAAATAAAATGTATGTCGCACAAACGTTCGTAATTGGTTCATTGAAAAACTTGCATGAATGGCACCAAAAACCAAGGTGATCAAACGAAATAAAATGTACACAATAGAAGATTTTCGATCTGCAGTTAATAGTTACTATCAAAAATAATAGAATTAGGTATAAAAAAAAAAAAATACATACTTAAAAGAATAATTTTCATTCGAATCGAAAGTTTGTTGATGTCTGCTTCATTGAAAACAGCTATGACCCGGAAACAGTTCA